GTTGCTCTTCCAATGAACTGCTCCGCTGGAAAGCCACACCTGATGGAACAGTTCTTCCTTCTTCCCTTTCATATAAAGCAATGCCAACGTGCTTGTGGCTCCAGAACCAGATCCAAGTACTGTTATGCGTTTGGGATCTCCACCAAATTGTTTAATGTGCTGTTTAATCCACCGTAAGCCTAGTAATTGATCGTGTAGGGCGAAATTCTCAATTGAAAGTTGATATCTTGTTTTATCACCTGCAATGGGGGCTGTGAGATTATAGAAGAAACCTGCAAGACCTAGACGATAGTGGAGGTAAACCCAGACCGCATCAGTGTCACGAACCGCTTCATCAGTAGGCTTGAAGGCACTGTATCGGTAATGTGGTGGCATTAAAGGTTCCGTTAAAAACTGAAATCCAGCTATCAGTACAATCACCGGTTTGAGCACTCCATCATAAATTGGAGTGCTTATATCAACTTGGAGACACCTCTCTTGTTGAAATAGAGCGTAAGGATTGGCAAAATCCACTTTTTCTCCCGGAATGGGTTGACTACATGTACTAACAGGGCGCCTCCTGCCCAGATTGCACGTCCACCGACTGCGTTGGAAGCTGCACCGATCATGCTGAGATAAAATGCAGCCTTCGATACCCTCTATCTTCCGGGGCATTTGCCATCGTAGAACTGGCCTCCCGCTTTCCACGCGTAGATACTCTCGAAGTACATCCAATGTCTGTTCGTCTGGTTTCGTCAGAGGTGGGATGGAATATGGAATACCAAAAAAACGCAGCACCGTATAATCGGAATTCCATGAGCCTATGAGGGTAGCACAGTCAATGGATGCATTCGGTGGAGGTATAGGGAAAGTGGGTAGGAGGAAAAAGGCCACCACAAAGTGAATACAAAGACCTAGTAACGATAATGCAATAAGGTAGAGTAGGATTTTGTCCAATGGCCGACGGCACACCACGGCAACACCCGGAGGTTCCACGTGAGGACGTCCATATTGGAAAAATTCTTCAGACTCCTGCAGTCTGCGGTATTCAACCACTCTAACCCTGTCACAAGCCATTTAATTGATTTGCCATTGATTTATTTTCGGTTTTTTCTTTTTGCTGATAATTTGAAAAGCAATCGAAGACAAGGCGCATTTTTTATTGGATGATTTTGTAGGCTTTGGAAGTTGGTTTATAAAGAAAATGAACTACCAACAGCTCACATTGCCTAACACTTTCACTATTTTTAGTTGTACGCTTGAAAATCGTTGATAACAGATTTGTGTTGTTGAACGCCACTCACCTCCTTGACACTATTTTCTTATGCATTCTAGATTGAAAGTGGACACGTTTTGCCCTTAATAATGGATGCATGGAAAAGGATGATTCCGAAATTATCCACATTTTCAAGTAGAGCAAATAGGCATTTGAATTTTTGGGGAGTCTGCATTAAATATTACTGCCTTTAGCTATGGAGAGCCATGATTCCTCGCATTTTCAAAACTGGCGTTCAGTTTTTTCAGAACTTGTCCAACTGCTTAATAAGACATGGGTTGTTAATGAGATTGTTACATTATATTTTTACTGATCATTTCTATGAGAGTCTGCTTGGGGACATGGGGAGGATTACGCTACGCCAAAAGTAGCAGTCAGCAATAAAACCGAGAGGATTGTGCGCAAAGGACTGACAGGGACGAGTGCTGTCACCACTTTGTATTGACTTGGAGAATGCATCCATCGCTTGCCTAGACTCCATCAAATTAAGCACTGTGTGCAGTTGACTCATTTTATTTTATCACATAAATATTTTATCGCCAAAAGTAATTACGTCGAGTGCCCTGATTCTCTCAATCTATGATTTTCCGCTTACGTTTAGCCTTAACGCTTAGACTGATTCCGAACACCAGCAACATGCATTTCAGTTTGGTCACTTTTTCTTTCTCCATCTAGTTAGTAGATTTGTATCTTTAGGCGTAAATATAAGGACTTTTTTCCACATTACAGAGAGTGCTCTAAAATTAGCAAAGTTTAATTGAACAACAGTGGTTGTTGTAGTCACATGTTAGCTTGTTTTCCAAAATAATATGATGGCGAGTTGCGAAAATCTTGCTTTTTAATACTGACTTGCATCACACGCGTTACACCAATAAAGTAAACCTAAAAATTCTTCTTTGTTCGATGTGAAATACTTTAGTAGTAGTTGGTCTGCTCGTTCAGACATAAAAGGGCTTTGCTAGTCATACCAACCCTCTTCTTCAAGGGTGGGGGGAGCAGGGCATGGTGGGGGAGAGGGGGGGGCTGCGATGGAGGTGCGTTTGCGTGCTGACAATTATCATAACTGCGGGTTTCGCGTTTGGCCGGGCAAATCGAGCAAACCATTGGCCCTGCTCAACTGGGCCAACCACAAGTAACCTCGGATGAGATTGCAGCTGGGGCGAGAATGGCGGCACTACAAACTTGCAAGAGGATTAAATGAGAACACGCAAATGGTACGTGTGAACTTCGGCATGCCTTCCTCCAAAAAAAACTGAACCCTTTGTGAATGGCAAAGTGGGTCAAATTTTTGTAGGAAATCATAGACCCTCCCACTCACAATAAGGACACAGTGAGTAGGACATGGCTAAGATGGGTCAGTGTTTAAATTTTCTGGGTAAATGCTAATGTTCAAGCCTTCAGATTCGGTATCGCGTACCAGTAGAGACTTGACTCTTATTATTTTTAATAGATGTGTTTTGCTTTTTGCGTTTTGTTTCTACAACGTTGCAACTTTCAAGTATAGCTAAGTTTGTTTAGCAGCACCATTTTGTGTCATCCTTTAAATTATTTTTTTACAAAAAAATAAACTACTTGCCGATAATGTGTGTCTGTTGAAGCAGAGTCATCTTACTATGCCAGTGAAAGGAGTTAAAATGCTGATGTTTTACGGAAAGTGTAGCTAAAATGTCCCTTCAATTGCATAGTTATTTAAAGTATTCGAAAAACTATAAGTCTGTGTTAACGCAACTTTCCCAGTGTTTTAATGTGGCTATTACAGCCAATGTTTAAAAGTTTATGTGACCAAATACGGTTGCATGCTCATTGGCGAATTTAAAAATACCAGGAACCTAAAACATACTTACTAATTTTTATACAATTTCGGTTTTCAACTTCTAAGGCAAGGCAGATCCTTGGGCTTAAATCTAAGATATCTAAATTCTGGTTGCATTAGCAAACAATTAATGCACCGAATAGCGTGCCCATTCCATATTGTTAAGTGAAGAACATACTGCTGAATAAACTTAAGTAAA